ACCCCCCCCCGGGGGGGGGTATTGTGGAGTTAAGGCCCCCCCAATTTATTAGGGTTGCTGAGGTTGAGAAACATTGCTATAGACTATAATAACAGGATTTTGAAAGCCTGACAGCATTTTCCCCTCCCTCCCTCCCTCTAATGCAAAAGAGAGCCAAGACAAGATCCATCTTGAGTTTCTTTCTAACTCCTTCTTCCCTTCCTGGGCTTAATTCAAGTTTTGCTAAAGGTCTCTTCATACCTTCAAGGTCATCTCTGTGGTTCTCTACTGCCTAATATTTTTTCTATACCTTATGGAAGGATTTGGGGAGAAAGATAGAAGCCACAATGACATGTCATAGTTTAAATGATGCAAATCAGGGTCATTTGTGTGCTGAAGTCCTGATGCATGGGACATCATGTTTACGCTCCTCAAGGACTCCCATGGGTGTTACTGAGGAAGTAAGGGCGTTTTTTTCCCTCTTCATAATATTAATGTTAAACCTAAGGACATCCAATGAAGAGGAACGGTGGGGGGAAAAAAGATAGCATTATTCCACTCAGTGCACAATTAAGCTGTGGAACCTCTCATCACAAAATGGCAGTGGAAGAAGGTGGAACTCATAAACACCATTCAATCTAGCTAGTTACTTGGATGAATTATGTATCAGAGGAGACATCATTTTAAAGAACAAAGACAGAATTATGAGAGAAAGGAACATCTGCCTCTTTACAGAGCTCTCCTTGGAAGACTTTTTGGTTCCAAATTTTTGGCAGTGGAACCACAACAAAACCCCGCCCCAAACAATCCTTCTTCACTTTACTTGCTCAACAGCCTGTTCGTAATGTCTAAAGTTGTCCAACTCCCGGTGGGTCCTTTCTGATAGCTGGCGAAAGATTTGCTTCCTCCATTGGGCAGTCTGACTTGGGCTGATGGAAAGAGCCAAGGACTGAGCGCAGGAGTTTAAAGCTATAACAGGGGGAAGAAAAAGAGAACTCACAACCAAGCATTTTCTGATTCCTTAATTAAAAACATATTTCTTTTAAACGGTTGATATTTCTATGCTGATCTGCTCCAAATGACTCTGAAGGGCAGATGGCAATAAGAATTAAAAATAACAGAGCTAGCAAAAAGTAATATAAACCATAACATGGTGCAATCCAACATCTCCCAAACATTCTCTCCCAGAGCCATGTTTCCGAGAAAGCTCTCCAAGGAAGTGGTAATCTGTACATATGGAAGCAAGTTATTCCACAGGAGAGGTGCCACCACTGAGAAGGCCCTACTATGGGGTCCCTGTGGATGGAGGTCCTTGGGTGACGGGACCTCAACAGAGCTCTTCTCCCAGATCTTCCAAGACTGGCAGATGGCCCTGGAGATAAACCAGGTTGTGAGCCAAGAAAAGCTTTCAAGGCCACAACCAGCACCTTGAATTACACCTGGAAACTGACTGGCAGCCAACGCAGCTCCTAATGTTCCATGGGCAAATCCCTTTGCTGAATTTATATGGAATCCCTTTGCTGAATTCATACTGAATTTCTATCCACTTTTCTGCTTAATGGACTGCTCAGGAAATGCACACGTCTGTAAGGCAACAGGGGACAAGGGACATGTATGAACGTGCCCAAATTTTAGTCTTTATCTTAGATAGCCTGTTTCCAAGTGAGTAGGAAGACTGCAAACTTGGCGGGTATGGGACACAGCCTTTTTAGTGGTGGTACCATATCTCTGGAACATCCTTCCAAGGGAAACATTGATAGTTGAACAAAACCTCAAAAGCAGTCCTAAACCGATTCCCTTTCGCAAGCTGAGATTTGGATTTTGCACAGCTGTCATCTGCAAATCAAGAAGTTGATACAGGCTCTCGACCTCTTTTAGTGCATTTCCCAACTATACATGACTAGTTGGGATTTTAATTTTCCCAATTAAGTAAAGAAATAAAGGAGGGAACAAAGACACACACGCGTACCTCGAAGGTAAAAACAAGCACACTTTTAAGGAAAATGACATCAAAATAAAAGAATATTTTAAAAAAATTAAAGCTACGGAGATACCACACACCTGACTGAGCTGTGAACCATTTTAGAGCACTCTGGGAATCTACTAGGCAACCCCGGCTGGAGACCCAGGTCCAGAATGGATGCTCATCGGCCACAAAGTGATCCTCGACACCAGTGGGTAAGAAGGAAGACAAGCTGGACGTCTCAGCAAACACACTGACAGATGCTTTAGATGGCCTGCTGGCTTCTTTCAAATCAATGTTAGTCCACTGAGGCTTGGATGGAAGGGAGTCCAGATCGGAGACAGGTTTTTCTGGGGCACCTGGGAGGTCTCCGTCAGGCCCAGCAGCGACTTCATCAAGAACAGTGGCCAACGGGTCTGTATCCAGCTCTGGGACCAGATGGGGTCCGTTATTAGCATCAGATACTGGCCCAAGGAGACGAGACTCATTTAGAAGGGATTCTGACTCCACTTGGGAATCTCCATCACTTTGAAAGGTGGAATGGCTTTGTTCTTTGATGTCATCTGTAAAGAAGCAGCCAGCGCTGGAGATGCAGGAGGGAAAAGACGATCTTACTCTGAATTATCCATGATATTGTTCATTGAAATGCTAGTGAGTTTGTATGTTTTTTCCCCAAGTTAATTGTTTCCACTGCATTATCAAATGCAAACAACCTATTATAGTATATATATAATAACTGAGTACAGTGGTATTTATACAATGAAAACTGGAAACTTAACACTGTGATGATTTAGATAAATTAAACTTTTCAAGATGACCCAATAAATGTTAAATATAATTTCTAAGATGTTAACGAACATAAGGTTGCTTAAGTTATGACACTGATAAAAGGTTGCAAAATGCATTCAATTATTTTATAATATGAAAAAGATTTAGATCCTTGAGACTAGAGAGTTTGTTGAGTCAAATAAAAGAATTCTCAGGATTAACATTTTCTGTAGGACCCTGGCTGTAGAAGGCCTCCCACTCTCCAAAGGTTATTTTTACATGCACACACACACAAACAGAAAAAATATAGAAATAGAATGAGGTAAATTACAAGTGCAATGAAGTTTTAGTTTTTCCATATTTGTAAGTAAATAAAAGAATACCTTTGATCCCAAAAATCCCTATTAAAGTTATTATGCAGAATATAAATACCAGGAATATCAAAGAGCACAGCTTAGATCACACAGTAAAATCAGGAAGTTGTAAATTGCAATGAAAAGGCAAATGTCATTGACTTGAATATCAGGGAATGAAGAGGGAATGGGCTTCTCCGAAAGTGCCTCTCTGGTACCTCTACACTGATCTCTCTATGGTTTTGCAAGAGTCCAACATATTGGCAGTTCTTCCCACCCCATCTATATTCTACTTTGGATAACAGTTACCTAAGAAGGCTGGTGGAACTGCCAGTTTGAGATCGGTCGCTCTCTCGGTTGCAGACAATCGGTTTCCACATTTTCCCACTCAGCTCGCTTGGTGTGACGCCTTGACGGAAATAAATCGCTCGGTCCTCACAACTGATCCCCCAAACCTACGTTAGAAGAGTCGGAAAGAACTGAAGGGCTGAATGGGAAGAATCATAGCTGTCCGCTAGAAGAGATTGTGACGTCCAATCATGACGCTGTCTATCTCTTTGCCTCCTGGAGAATGTGGGTGGGAGGCACGCATGACTAGAGAGTGGTTATTGCAATAATGCTTAACTATGTGCAAATGAACTGACATGAAGTTGAGTTTTAAGGTTACTTCTGAAAATGTATCCCCCATTATCCCCTTAATGGCTCAAGGTGGCGGATGAAAATGCTCTAAAAATAACCTCTGCAATGAAAGCAGGGTTAACAAAGGGAAATATAAAAAAACTAAAAAATAGGACTCATACCCTCCCTCCAGCCCCCCAATGTTTTGGAATGTGGGCCTTGGCTCAATGCAGTGACTCAATGCAGCCCTCGACTCAGAAAAATGGTGTGTACCCTGTGCTAAGACACCATCTGCTTTTATGATTTGAGCTTGGTACTTATATGTACCCAGCTATTCTGGTTTATGGCTAAAATGTTCTGTGAAATTGGCCAACTGTTGTTTATTCAGCAAACCAAGACTAAACCATGACTTAGAGCAACATGCAACTCTAATCCCCACCGTTCTTGCCTCTCTTCCACCCAACGGCCTCCACCCAGTTTTTCTAAGAGCCTCACCTGGTCATTTAAGCCCACATCCACCATCTGCATTTCACCAATCATCTCGATCCAGCTGGTGCCACAAGGGTTGTGGGAGTTCACGCCTCGTCTGAACCAGACCTGGCTCAGAAAAAATCAGGGATGGAGATTTGAGGTCTCTCTCCCTCCACCAAAAAGAACCCCTTAAAATCCTGACATTGGAGCATGTTATGAGCAACGGCAATAGTCCTACCCCAGATGGCTTGTGGCAAATCACAGAATTATCCCCTTTATTCAGATAAAAACTTGCAGCTGAGTGCCCATCAACCATTTTTTAAAAATTCTTTCTACAATCAACAGGACTAGCAACTTAGTCAGCATTTACAACTCCAAAGGCACTTACTTTTCTGTCTTTCGTGACTGCCCAGACCACGTTCACCCCAACAGACACGTGCAAAATCCCATGCTCTGCAACCGGCGGATCCACAGTTGTCCAAGACGTTCCTGCTCAGAGAGAAGAGACAGAAACTAGTAGAAGGGTGACACAGCTCCACAGCAGAGAAACAACTTCCTTGGGCCACAAACGGACCTACCCTGTGGATTGTTTCGGTCGATTCCTTCTCTCACGATCGCCTGTCCTTCCCAGCAGGTGGCCCAAAGGAGATCATTTGCTCCACAGCTGATCTGTATTGCTTCACCTGGGGTAGGTATTAAGGTCCAGGAAGATCCTTCAGGATTGTGATGATTGACATCTTTCCGATACCAGATCTAGGAAGAAAAGGCCGTTTTCAGGCACGGTTGCTCAGAAGGAAACACACACTCGTGAACACACCAAGCTAGGATTTGGGTTTTTTTTTTCTCTTGCATCAGGGATGAAAGTCTGGAAGCCTTCTTGATATTATCATTCTAAAATTCCAACATTGAGGGATGTTAACGGTATCAGCCAGTCATCATTTCCTCTAAAAGCAAACTCGGCAAGCGAAGAGATGCAGAAAAGTCAAGAGGGAGATTCAGACTGCTTGCTAACCAACAACAAGCTTGAAAGCTGAAAATAAAGCTTGGTGGGCCTAGGAGAACCCTGCCATGAAGACAGGACATTTTCAATCACCAGGAAATGTTGGGAAAAAAAGGTTATGAATGAAGGAAAATGGAATGAGAAGTTGGAGACGGGCACGGCAGCTTGGCCAGCTCTGATCAAGAGCTCTTATGTTAAGAGATGAATACACACTGGAGCAAACTGTTGAAAGAGTCAAGTTTTTGGTGGCTTCATGGACACTTTCATGGACTTTTCTTGGTAACAAGAAAGTGCTTTGCCAATGTTGCCGTTGTCCTATTCCTACCTCTTTTAACCTCCCAGTTTAGTCTATAGACCTAGGGTTTCTTGGCTGTCTCTCATCAAGGTACTAACCAGGTTGGACCCCGCTAAGCTTTTCAAGATCAGCCAAGGTCACCTAAGGTGCCGCTACCTAATCCTAGTATTGTAAAATGGCCAAGAATGTCACCCTCTGGGGGAGATAGGCAGCATATAAATTTAATAATAAATAAATAAAATAAGAATGACAAAACCCCTGACCCAACTCTGAAGGAACTTGTGATCGTTACTCTGTTTCTAATGCAAACATCTCCACCCTTCACTGAGGACTGCTTTTCAACAACAGACAAGGATAGAACCCAAACTGGGCAGAATTGTGAAGTGGGTAGGGTAGCCTTCGCCTGGCATTTTCCAAATAAACATCTCCCATGACAGCCATACTAGCTGGGAATCATGGGAGTTGTATTCCAACTCATTGGGAAGAGACCAGGTTGGGGGAATTTGGTCTACCCTGATCAGCTGATCGACTGGCACTCTTTGGCTCTGTGCCAATGTGACCAGTATGTAAATAAGAAGGGCTGATGACGAGGAGACATTACTTTGCCTTGCAGAGAGACAGCCCAGACTGATAGTTGACCCGGAGGTTCATCGGTCGTCTCCCAGCCTCCCACGGAGATGTCATTAAAAGGATCTGGTAACTGCTTCGGATCTTCATGAGATGGAATCTATCTCAAAAAAAGGAAAGGAGAAAAACTTGGAGTTATTGTTACTTCAATGGGTCGAATGAACACCCCTTCCTTGATGAACTCCACATGGTGGGACAGTCCCTACCCTGGGATCCTGATAGCACCTTCTAAAACTAGAAAGAGCTGCACCCTGCAAGAAAACCCATTTAAAGAAAACCCAACAAGAATGTTTCTAATGCTTATTGAAAACCACAGAATCCTTTTTTTCCAAGAGGTACTGTGGGAAAATTGCAAATATTCTTTCAAAGCCTGGGGAGGGGAGAACTCTCACCTATACCTGCCCTTCATCACCACCCAGAGTCATAATAGAGTTGGGTGGCCTTAGAAATAAAATATAAAATAAATCTAAAAATGAAACAAAATAAAATAATACAATAAAACAAAATGTTGTTGAGAGAGACTCAAGAAACTACAGCTACCTGGACAAGCTAAAACTCTTTGGCCATGCCCAACCACCTCTGGACATACTAGGAATTCTAAGGAAAGGAGAAGAAGGAGAAAGAGAAAAAGCAGCACACACCTTTGCCCAGGTGTCCCGCGCTTTGTACCTTCTGTACCGAATCCACCTTCTTCGTCTGACACAAGAATTCCACTTTTTGCCCTTGGTATACGTAGCTGGGAAATCGATGGCGTAGGTCCACCCCTTCAGAAGAAGAAGAAAGGGAACGAGGTAGAACATGACGAACCCACCAGGAACAAGGCTTCAAAGAACTTCAAGGACATTCAGTCACCACTGATGCTCTTGTGATGTAGCTACACATGACTTGCCATCTCCTTACTAACTCCAAAAGAAAATCAAAAACAAAGCTCTCGTTCTTTCTGGAGAACTGGAAACTCTCTCTCTTATTGCTAATTTCATTAGGATCAGCTGGAGGCACTGCACTCAGCCACGGTTTACTTAGCAGTGGTTTCCCAAATCAACCATCATTCATAGTTGGGTTCACACAACATGCTAGACTAAAAGCAACAATTATGGCTGAGCATGTTCAGTGAGCAAAGCTTTGTTGCCTTTTTGACCTAGAAGCCAGAGATCTTTCACATGGAGATTTCTGCAAAAGACTGTCTTGAAATTAAAAGATTTGCAGACCAAGAATTTGATCTCAAGACCACAATTGAGCTCACAGTCTCTCTGCACAAAAAGCTAGTCTCAGTTAACCTCAAGTTTTATTCATTTAGCAATATCATCTTAGGGTTGTGATGGAAAGAGGGATGACCAATTCAGAATCCCTTTGGGATCTAACACAGAGATCCGCTAGTGGTTTTAAATCTACCCTATCATCTGCAGCATTGCATCCAATAAGGACTTTTTCCCCCCTTCCCCCAAAGATTTGAAAAACTGAACCACAGTTCAGTTTTCTTTTTGCTCCCAAAAGCTAAGACATCTTGGTACACAGATGGACTTCCACGGAAGAAATGGCGGACTGAAGACAGCTCTGCGAAAAGTAGACCGGCTCTTTGTAATTCCTCCCTGGACAAGGAGAGGACTTGAGATCATCCGCAAGCGCTCCAGACAGTTGCTCCTTGCGAGGAGGCTGCAAGATGGTGGTCTCTGGTGGGTTTACAGCACTGGGAGATGAGGGAATAGCCATCTTGCTCAAACCACGGTTGGCGCCTTCAAAAGGACACTGGTTTCGCATAATTCCTTTTCTAATAACTTTCGGAAATTGCTTCTTAACTGTTACAGCTAGTAGGAACCTTTGGATCAACCTTTGGATCATTAACACGGGGAAAAGAAAAGGGAATTGCATTTTCCCAGCAATTCACATTGTCAATGGGCTGAGAGCAGAAAATAGCATTTCCCCAGCAATTCATTGTTAATACAGGGAAAGGAAAAGGGAATTGCATTTTCCCACCAATTCACATTCTGTTCTCATCCAACTGAGAA